ATTAGTTTACCATAGTTTGTGGACGTGGTTGTTCCCCATACCGTAATTCCATAACAGAGCCTCGAGTAAAACAGGGAGTAATATAAGTTTTTGGTAAGCCAATTAGGTATAAAGTTTGCTATTCTATACATGCATCCGACCACTTTTGATAATTCCCCCTTCCTAATGTGAGTTGTCCAGGTTAGTTCTTCATTGAACCAGACTCCAAGAAACTTTTGTTCTTCTACTTGAACTATTGGGAGGCCATTGAATTATAAATGTATTTGGTTATTGTCACGCTTGTTTATGGGTCTAAATATTATATATTTTGTTTTTTCTGCATTAAGTTTAAGTTCGTTCTCTGCCAACCATTGTGATAGCTTCACGAGGTAATCGCTAGCCTGTTGTTGTAAGGATGCTTTTGTATTGCTACTGACGAAGACATTTTTATCGTCAGCATACATTACGAGATGAGGAGAATTGGGAATATCGGTTATGTCATTTATATACACGAGGAAGAGTAGCGGGACTAATATAGAGTCTTGTGGTACGCCATGTTTGATTTCTGATTCCTGGGATCTAATTTTATCGACAGGAACAAACTGTTTACGGTTTTTAAGGTAAGATTCAATTAAGTTCGATGCTATTCCTCGTACGCCATAAGACTGGAGTTTTGAGAGTAAAATATTATGCTGTATAGAATCAAATGCCTTACTTAGATCGAGAAATAATCCGAGCGTGTATAATCTATTTTCAATGTTTGTTATAATGCTGTCTTTTATATCAGTAAGTCCTGATTCAGTTGATTTTTCTTTTTGGAAACCGTATTGGGGCTCTGTGATTACATTGTGCTTGGTAAAAAACTTTTGCAATTTAATGTTTATCACACCTTCAAATATTTTTGAAAATATTGGCAGCACCGATATTGGTCTGTAGTTTTTCACGTCATTTTTATTTCCGCCCTTATACACCATGCTAACCTTTGCAATTTTGAGAAAATCTGGGAAAATTCCTGTCTGCAGCATGATGTTTATGATATTTGACAAGATCGGGCTTATTACATTGGACACAAATTTAATTGGTAAGGGCTTGATTTCATCTATCCCAGCTGATACACTCGTCTTAATTTGTTTAATCAAATTACTTATTTCATTCGGCGATGTGGGTGCAAGCATTATAGAGCTTGATATATTTGATGTCTTAGCTGCACCACCGGATTCACAGTCACTATCTTGTTCCCGCGGAACACCAATATTTATAAAATGTTCATCCATGATATTTGCAATTTCTTCGCCAGCTACATTTCTACCGTCAACGGATATTGTATGCGCCCTATACAAACTTGTATCTTTGTTTGTAAGGTTATTTACTAATTCCCATAGCTTTCTAGCGTTATCGTAGTTCCTTCAAATTTGCGTAGAAAATACTCCGATTTTGCATTTTTGAAGTCTGAGTTTAGTTTATTCCTAATTTTTTTTTAAATTCAGTTATAAATTTTTTGTCACGGGATTTCACAAAAGCATGGTACATATTGCTTTTTATTCTAATTCTCTTGTATAGTTCATCATTCAGCCATGGCTTGCGGAATTTTGATTTAACCGTTCTCGATTTTACTGCAGGGAAGGCGAGGTCATATATTTTTCTGAATTCTTCTGAAAATTTTCGAAAGGCAGATTCAGCACTCTGTTCTAAGTAGATGCTTGTGGAGTCAAATCGCTCAACGAGCGCTTGAAAAGTGCATAGAGTTTCATCATTTATTTTTCGGTAACAGTAATTTCCTGGGTCAGTTTTGTTTTGTTCTGTTGGAACGCGGCTGAGGCAGAAAATAGGCAGATGGTTGCTAATGTCTTCACTGAAGATGCCAGAAACCAATTCAGTTTGGTTTACATTGGTTACACACACATCTATGGATGTGGCACTCTCACTTGTTATCATAGTCGGTTGGGATATCATGTTTGAACAATTCTACGACACAATTTGGTCATTAAGGTCTCTAGCATACACGTCGTTTGAAATTGTGTCTATGTTTATATCGCCCATAATCTTAAACGGTAGTTTTGTTGAAGAAAGAAAATAGAGTAAGGTATCAAAAAACTTCAAAAACACATATTTGTTTCCCGCTGGTGGTCTATATATTCCGGAAATTAACATTTTCTTTGTGCGCAGGACTAGGCGCTCAATATCTTTGTCTCTCACGGAATATTCGTCCACAACAGTAAAAGTAATTGAATCTACTATGTATATCAAAATTGCACCTCCTCTTTTCTTACCTCTATTTAAATTAGCACAGTTGTAATTAGCAAAACTCGGTGGTATCTCATTGTCTCCCATCCAAGTTTCAGTGAACAACAATGCGTCAAAACGTACATGCAATGAGTTAAAGAACAGATCAAGGGCGTCTTGTTTTCTACTTATGCTTCTCGTATTTAGATGAATTGCAGAAAAATTGGGTTTATAGTTTCTGTACCTATCGTTGAAATGCACACTATTATAATATTCACATTCCTGATCCAGCATGATCGTTGTAAAACGGTACCACTGTTGAAGATGAGTTCAGAACGATCGTGTCTACGTCATTCTTTCGAAATCGGCTGTGCATGTAACCTTCAAGATATTCAACCCATCATCCTTTCGTGCATACACTTTTCCGCCCACAGTCCAGACGTGTTTCCACCTGACTTCCCTTTTTTAGCGATAGTTACCCCAAGCAGTTGTTTGCATTGTCGCGTAAGACGCTCATTGACAAACACAGGCGTTGTAACCCTGGTCGCAGTGAAGCCCAGCGCTTCAGTACTGAGTCGCTTTTTTTTTTTTTTTTGCTTTCATGAGGACAGTGTTTCTCTTCGTGCGCTGTAGGAAGCGCACGATAATGTTTTTTTCGCCAGGTTTTTATGTCGGAACTCTGTGGCAAATGTCGATATCTGCATTAGTGATAGGCTCGTCTAACGCGTCCCCAATCTTTTTGATAACGTCATTGGGATCATCTTCATCTTTTATCTCAAGGTTATGTTAGCGTTGGTAGTGCTCTAGTTCCTCTACACGCTGACTCAGTCTTTGATTTTCATTCTGAAGCTCGGAGTTCTTCCTTGTCAACTCCTGTATTTCCTTTCTTAGGTGCTTTAGATCATTTCCAATTTACTCCACTTTATCGCAAGTGTCGCTTCAGAACTTTGTACTTTCTTTTAGGCTTCGGAGGTCCGCCCTTAGTTCGCGCCGAAGATCGTCGATTGCTTTTGCAAACTCTTTCGCTTCCTTCCCGTCCTTAGTCATGATGGACAGACAAAACGAGAAACGGGCAAAAGAAAGACACCACAGTCAGAACAGCTGTGTTCGGCAGCAGTGCACCCAGGCAGGGATACTCTAAACGTGGAAAAATTCTCACCTGCAAGCAGAGTGGTACGCTTAGAAAAGTGCCTCCGGTGCACTGCTGCCGAACTGGACGCGGCGCGGGATCGCCGTCCCCTTTTGTAGACGATGCCAGATGTCGCGGCCTTGAGTCCACTTAAGTGCGCTCCGTCCGCTTGGCAGCGCACACGTGACTATATAATTCTAAACATGATGTCTCGCTTGCACCATGTCGCTGCTGGCGTAAAAAGGCACTTCAAATCGCAAGCCTGTCAAAGTTACCCTCACGCACATACTGCATGTGCTTCCACACATGACACTGCTGCAGACGCCATGCTGGCAATTGTATATGAGTTGTTTAACTTCATAGAACTCGAACGACTACAGTTAGAATATCTCATTGGCGCAAGTAATTAAATAATATGTGGATTTAATCTGCGACTTCTCGCCATATATTGTCTGCTTTCTTTAAAATAAACAAGTAAACGTAAGATCGTTGCCTACCCAAAACTCCACAAGACCACGACTTTATCGGTGAAATCGGAATCACTTTTCAGTGCCACATTGCCACGCGCAGGGACGAGGAGCAAGCAGCGCCCGGTCGTGGTGTTCTAAAAGGTTCGCATTTATTCTTAAGCCTGTTTTACATGCGGCGACTGTTGCGAAAAAATCGGTGCGCCAGACAACGCAGCGAGTGCGATCGCAATGTTTGGTTTCAAATGCTCCAACAACCGCGCAATTTCTGTCGGCGCGGCCGGCTCTTCGGACACGGAGAAGACGCGTTTGACTTTGCCTAAAATACAACAAAAACGTCTTAATAAAAAGAAAATCATACTAATACTGTATGTAACTAGAATTTTTTAATAGTTGAGCATTAAACCAAAAGCATTTTGGTGTCTAAATTTATTTTCTAATATGCAGCTATCGTGGATGAAAGCAGGCTAATGAACGGCTGGTTGATGAGAAAGCGACAACTCTGCGACAAAATACCAACTAGGTGACAACCAGTCGCAGAGCCTCTGCGACAGTGTGACCGTGATTTTAATCGGACATTTACTGGAATTTGCACCGATTTGGGACGATAATCGCAGCATGTGAAATAACCTTTACTCGGGGCGTGACTTTTATCATTTCGCCGTAGTTTCTTCTTCTTGAAAGTGCCTGATCATTCTCACACCGAACGCTCGATGCTCAAGCCTTCTAGGCCGAATTCTTCACCTGACGACGCACACACTAGATAAGGAGCGGTCCGCAACATTGTCGAGTCAGTCTCGCTTTCGCTTGCTGTTACGCCGCCAAATCGCCGCTCAATTTTCTGCTGTCTCGACGCTCGTTCTTTATTTTGTTTGGCACAAGTTCGCCGATTAAGCCTTTATTTTCAGTTCACTGTTCATCCTCTCGTCACCTTCATTCTTGAAAATATTCCACTTTTACTGATGATAATCTTTATATATTTTGTAATTTTTAGCTTATTTGTGTTGCTGAATTGAGTGAATAATCTAGTTCAGTATTTTTTCATATTCTGTTATATGTTACGAGAAGACATAAAGCAAGTTTTACACAAACTTTGTAGTTAAATTACAGTAAAATATGACAGCTGCGAAAAAATAACGTGGCAAATAAGGAATTACAAAGCAATAAATTGTTAGTACAGCGTTGATTGTAACAGATTCCTTTCAAAGCCTGCATGAATGGGAGTCTCATTTAGAGGTAGAACGTACACAGCCTATGCTTAACTGCCCGTGATCCCCTCATTTGGTCCAGGCAAGTACAAGAGGGCACCTCAGTCTCACAACTGTTCAGAAAGTATACATTATTGTTCCACACCAAGCGAAACGTAGTTCTAGAAATTATGTCGTATATCACTGAATAAACGTAATAGAAAGCAAACTTACCTTAGTCCCATCAGGATCTGGTGTGGAGTGCATATTGATAAGCCAAAGCTTTCCCAATCGTTTCCCCATTTGCCCATGAGAAATCCATCCCTAGGGTCACAGCTTCTTGCACCGTCACTTCCCCTCACGAATTCGGCTCCTGGAGGACCCTCGCCGTCATACACAGCACCCATGCTTAAAAATAGGCATAAGTGTAAGCGTTTCCCGCAAAACTGCTAAAGTGCCACAGTAAACAAAAATCTTAAGACGCAGTTTCAATCATCCAAAGTAGGAGCTGCGTAACTATCTCTACTTCATGGGCACGCCAAAGGAATTCAAACCGATGGCCTATGTAAAATAGATGAACTCGCGCCTGTAATGTTGGACGCACAGAATGAAATCACGAGCTGAATCGCCGATCCTAAGAAAGTCTTTGACTAAATGGCCTTGAAAATGCCCGGAAAGCATACAGTACGGGTTCTTTCGTTCCTCTGGTCACCTTGCGCCGTCCAGACTGCCAGGTCCGGATGGGGTGACGGACTTCGTTGTGGGAAGCTGGGCGGGTCTTGCCGGAGACGAAGTTGCTTCCCTTGGCCGTCGACGACTAATTCAGTTGACTTTGGGAATTACTTTTAAACAAAACAATTTAATACTTTTGAAACGAATGAAAATACAAAGAAAAACGATACTGCGAAATGGTAACTTCCCCTGTACGGGATTGGGAAGGAGGTGGTCGGGTGTTAGCTTCTCCAAGCTCGGGAGTTGGCTGGCTCGTGGGATTACGTCCCGATTACGGGGACAAAAGTCCCTCGGAATCCCACGACCTGACTCGATTACGGAGCGACAGCTCTCGAGCCCCAGCACGAACTAAACTCACTCGCTGAGTTTCTAATCCAAGTTACTCGTTGGTCCGTCCCCTTTTAGTGGACCGGCGAATCCTCGACGCGTTGTGAGACAGGCGTTTCCCACCGCCAACCAATCGGCTCACTTTCTCGCCACGTGGGAATTGCTTGTATTCCCGGGTGGGAACCCGCGGTCTGCGTACATCTCACGGTCAAAGGTCGGGCTGGTTCGGATGCAAACAAAACCATTTCTCGCATGGCGAAGTGGACAACCGACCCCAGTGTGGATAGTGCCGACTAAGTGAGCCATACCGTAATTCATTCTGCCAGAGGCGGTCTGACGTTGCCGTTCTGCCGCGACCCCCCACACTCGGGCGAGAAAGACTAAACCGATGTAAACGCGCCGTGTAAACAGCGCCGGACAGAGCCACTGCGCTCTGGTGGCGGTGGTGGTGTAACTTTACTTTCTCCGGCCCGGAACGCACGCTCCGATTCTCTCGGCAGAAAACGCGCGCCCCGAACCCCGCGTCGTAAAGTACGCCTGTCTCTCGAGGTCGCCCGCCAATGGAAGTGTTTACAACAGCGCTTTCCCCCCAGTCAAATCTCCCTGGTGCTAACGGCCCACCCGCGGAGCTCTCGTCAATCCTTACACCTCCCCCCTTAAGACTCTTGCTGGACTGAAAGAACATCTAAGAGTCAAACATGAAAATAGGATCGAAGACATCAGTCGCATTTCTACATACGATGCACAAAAAAAAAAAAACGCCATTAGACACGCGCCATGCAATGTCCCCATATTGAATGACAGTACGTCACTATAAAAGAAAATACGCGCACATGTCACAATGCAGGCATCAACGTTTACGCCAGGAACAAGAAAAAAAAGAACGCTAAACGGAACACGCCTGCTGCAATAACCGCGCATCGGAACACAAAAACAAAAAAACTTTGCAAAACAATTGTCTCTAGGCTCGTGCACTGGAAAATCTCAAGTCACAGCAGCCACAAAGTTTGACGAAGTCTCTTCACGCACGGACACAGCAGCAAGACCACACTCCTGGGGTATACAAGTCAGGCCGCGCGGTAGGCGGAACCACCCATGCTCTCGGATGGACGCAGCGCTGAGTCAGTGGTACCCCAAAATCTGTTCAGCAAGCGAGACAAAGCGTCTGCGTTACCGCTAGCGGACCCCTTTCTGTGGGTCATGATCACATCATAGCGCAGCAGCGCTAGAGCCCACTTTGATAGCTTTGCCCCATGCGGTCTGCAGGACGTCAGGTAGGACAGAGGGTTGTGGTCCGACACGATGTGCACTTTTGCGCCCAAGAGCCCGCCATAAAATGTGACAACCGCCCAAACGAGAGCGAACGCCTCGCGCCCAATGGTGGACCAGCGTGTTTGAGTAGGAGTGAACGTATGGCTGGCGAACGCGATCGGCTTCTCGGCTCCACCACTTCCGATCTGGCCCAGGCACGACCCTGGTGCCACTGCTGACGCGTCTGTCAAAAGCCAGCAAGGCTCCTGCAAGCTCGGGGTCGAAAGGATCGCCGCCTCACAGAGTGCTGTCTTTAGCTGCGGGAATGCGCCCTCCGCCCCCTCCGGCCTAAGTATTTCGTTCAGTTCGCCCTTTTTGGCAAGGGCCGTGCAGAGCTCGGCAATAGCAGCGTAGCCTTTTGCGTACTCTCGGAAGTAGCCACACGGTCCCAGGACACCCTGCGGTTCCCTCTTATTACGCGGGTAATCTAAACCCTCGGTCGCGGCGTCCTTATTTGGGTCCTGTTTATTCGTTCCAGACCCCACGACGTGCCCGGGGAGGGTGACTGACCCCCCGGCAACCTGACACTCCTCGTGAATGAGCTCACCTGTTTCTTCAGTCGCGCCGTTCTTGGGGGGCGCGCAGTTTACCTCTCCAAAGTTAGCGTCTTCGTGAAGCATGACTCCCACATGTCCCACTCGAGCATGGCTGTTTCTCAGCCGGCTCGCACGAACCACTTTGGTTCCGCCCTCCCGAGTCACAGGACCTGAAGCCGCCACGAAAACATTCGGTGATGCTATCCTGTGTTCACCCCCATCAAAATCCTGGTCTTTGTGCCGGTTCAGCAACTTCCAGTCATACGATGAAAGTAAGCAATCCGCCGTGATAGCCAGTGTATCGGTAACTGCACACAGTACGGTGACCGGGTCACTCTGAGCAACCCCTCCCCGGAGCCTGGCCTGCAGCGGCAAACGCACGAGTTTTGCTGTTACCTGTTGCCCAAAGGCAGAAACAAGGCGAACTGTGCCGCTATGCTCGACCAGTTCCGGCGGAACGGCGCTCTCTCTCACGACTGTTATTTCACTTCCGGTGTCTAGCACGGCCGTTAGCTCTTGGTCGCCGGAGAAAAGTTCGACTAGAATCAGTCCTGAACTTCTGGGTCCCCACTTGTCATTCTTATCTACTGCAGCCGTTGGCTGTTGAGGGAAACTCAAAACAGCAATTCTGTCCCCTACCATCACTCCCTGTACGAGTGGCTTTCGAGCCGTTTCGTCTTGCTCTTTGCGGTTAGGGCAGTTTCCCGAAATGTGCCCGCTTTGGTTACAGCCAAAGCAACGAGGCGAAGTGCGAGGAGGGCTCTGCTTAGGAGCGTCCGTCTCTGGCTTCGAGCCGTCGCCTCCGACTTCTATGCCCCTCGCCGTTCGTCTGTCTCTCTCTGCCTCCTCGTACATCTGTACCACCTTAGCTAGCTCGTGCGCCTGCAGCCACTTTGTCTCTTCACGCAGCGTGACGTGCCGGAGACACTCCTCACTGAGGCTCGAATTCACCTGGTCTGCGACCATCAGATGAATCAGGTCCTCTTTACTCTCTACATTGCGCGCCTCCAGGTAGTAGCTGAAATAGCTCGCCGTCCTCGAGGCGAACTGCGCCCACCCCTCGTCTTTTCGCTTACGCGCGCCGGCAAACCGCTTCCGGTACTCGCCAGGGGTGAGTCGGAGCTCGTCCAGGACGGCGGCCTTGACCGTGTCGTAGCTAGCTGTCTCCTCCGCAGATAACCTCGTAAAAAGATATTTAACTCTTTCTGACAACGCCGGCATTATCAGATGTACTCGGCTCTCATTCGGCACTCCGTAGGCCGCGAACATCTTTTCGACACCGTCGAACCAAACAGGAACTTCCGCGTCAGGTGGCAGTTTCTGATTTTTAAGAAGTTTCGCGCATTGCGAAACAGGGTCCAGCCTGCCCATTCCCGTCGTCACGGTAGCCGCCCCACCGACACTCGGTCCACGCATTGCCGCGATTCTTTCCTCGCTCTCAAGCTTGAGTTTTAATATGGCAATTTCGTGCTCGTGCTCCATGCGCCGCATGGCTTCCGCGTGCGCATGGGCAGCGCGCTCGTCGGCGGACCGACTTTCTGACCCTTCCGCCCCTCCGTCGGTCCCCTTGTCCTTTTCCGCAGTTTTCACCTTATCCCCTGATTTCTTCATCTTTTCCTGCCAACTGACTCCTACGTCTGCGCTCACACCAAAGAAACGTGAAGGTTCCACTCACCGGCGCCGCGGAGTCTCCCTTGGACTGGATGGCACGGGGTGACAGTGGGCTCCCTTGACGCTAGTCGGTCTCTGATGCGTGGGCTCTCTGCGGTAGTCGTTCTGTTGCCGCTCGATGATGTTTCTTGAATTTTAATGTCGTCGAAGCCAATCCTGTCGACTGCGCCAGTACGGGTTCTTTCGTTCCTCTGGTCACCTTGCGCCGTCCAGACTGCCAGGTCCGGATGGGGTGACGGGCTTCGTTGTGGGAAGCTGGGCGGGTCTTGCCGGAGACGAAGTTGCTTCCCTTGGCCGTCGACGACTAATTCAGTTGACTTTGGGAATTACTTTTAAACAAAACAATTTAATACTTTTGAAACGAATGAAAATACAAAGAAAAACGATACTGCGAAATGGTAACTTCCCCTGTACGGGATTGGGAAGGAGGTGGTCGGGTGTTAGCTTCTCCAAGCTCGGGAGTTGGCTGGCTCGTGGGATTACGTCCCGATTACGGGGACAAAAGTCCCTCGGAACCCCACGACCTGACTCGATTACGGAGCGACAGCTCTCGAGCCCCAGCACGAACTAAACTCACTCGCTGAGTTTCTAATCCAAGTTACTCGTTGGTCCGTCCCCTTTTAGTGGACCGGCCAATCCTCGACGCGTTGTGAGACAGGCGTTTCCCACCGCCAACCAATCGGCTCACTTTCTCGCCACGTGGGAATTGCTTGTATTCCCGGGTGGGAACCCGCGGTCTGCGTACATCTCACGGTCAAAGGTCGGGCTGGTTCGGATGCAAACAAAACCATTTCTCGCATGGCGAAGTGGACAACCGACCCCAGTGTGGAT